AGGAAGCTGCAGCAGTTGGTGTGTGCTCTTTGACGAAGGGTTTTTGAACCCGAAAGCTTGCTTAATAACTATTCTCCAACCATTTGGGTTGGTCTAATAAAAGATATCAAATTCACCCAAGGAACCTTGTCTGCCTTTTTAAAAGTATATAATTTACAAAGTCTTAAAGTTTCACTAGTTATCCATAGCTTTAGTGAATTTTAAAATAGTTATTTTCTAGTTCAAATGTAAAAATAATATTAATAATTAAAATAAAAAAATAATATTAAACATTAAAATAATATTAATAATCTTGCATCCCTATTAACAAGATAAAAGTGCTTTGGGAATGAAACAAATATTGCTCCAGGCTTTCAAAAAGCCATATTTTCAATGCATTCACTACATTTCCTACTTTTCCTTTGTTACTTTTTGTTATTGTTTTTTTTCAAATTCAGATGGATTATTTCACAACATCTTAAATACTGTATGCATTTGTGTGCGGGTATATACACACCCCTGTATATATACATATTGCAATGCACTTTTCTCATAAAGTGTCAAGAAGGTCAAAAACTGAATCAGGGGTGTAGGTTGTAGCCGTGTTGGTCTAAGGACATAGGCAGACAAGGTTCCTTGTGTGAATCTGATATCTTTTATTAGACCAACCCAAAAACTGAATCAAACATTCCCAAGGAGAACTGCAGGTCTGTAACTACACATTACAGAAGGTTTGGCAGGTATATTTTTTTTTCCCCAAGACAATACCTTTGACTCTAAAGTCTACAGAGTTCATGCACATTTAAACTGGTGCGAGGACAGAATATAGCTCTCTCTTTATCTAAATTAAAGAAATTAGGTATAAGCTACCCATTTCATATTTATACACCTTTGAAAGTTCTGTCCTACATGGGACCCATAATTAGATGATAGACTCCTTTCACTTCACAATTATTTTAATGTACAAACACAACAGATACTACTACAGTTGGTATAGTGTCAAAAATTGACTATTTAGCAATTATAAGGTTTCTGATTTTGATCAGAATATCACCTTGAAGCTGAGAAACTCTTTTTGACAAAATTTTGTCAAAGAAGCAGTACAGTTCTGTAAGAAATTTTGACAAATTTATGTTTTCTGATTAAAAAACCATTTTGTAGAAAAACTCCCAAGCATTTAACATCTACTTATACCCATGGAAGAACAGCAATCTTTTATATGGGTAGAAAAATCTGTCTTTCTTGGAGAAGAATATGTGACACCAGTACAAGTAAATTTGTTTTCACATTGAGTATAGGTTACACATAGCTCAAGATGATAAGCTCTCTTCCCATGACTAAATGGAGTATTCTAACACCAATTAGTAGAAACAGGTCATGACTCTACAAAGGTATTGATATATGGATATGCCACAGGCAAAAAAGATTAAACAGTTGCTTCCAGTCAAATTTATCCGTTTGGCTGCTGTCTCTGCATTAGCTGATATGTCAATACTAGATGTACTGTACTTTATTTCTCAATAGTACAGATGCTGATATAGCCAAAAGAATGCTAACAGGAAGGAGATGGCTGCAGAGTAATGTTTTTTTTTTCCTAGTGTTACAAAAGATTTTCAGTTTTGTCATTCCAGAAATGAAATGGTAATTTGAGGAAGGTCCAGTGTTGCTATAAAAAGCAAGTTCCTTATTACATGCTGTGCATTTGGAGTTCTGCAGGAATAGTATCAAAATCAAGTTCTTTATATGGGTTGGTAAAGCCATTAAACAGGAATAAAACATTCAGAGAATTGTTCTTCTTTTCTAAAAAAATCAGGTTTATCTTTCAATTTTGCAAACATAGACATATTTATGAAGTAGAAATAACCATACCTATTTACTCACATGTATTCTCTGGATTATAATTCCTCTATAGCAAAGTTATTTCTGAGTCATGCAATTGTTTTACCTTTCCAAGCATCACTTTTATATATATCATCAATGTGTACTGCTGGCAGCCAGGCTAGGTAGAGTAGGTTTTTCTGACTTAGGGCAAAGAAGAAGCCTGAGTACTGTTTAAGGATGAAACCAGTATTACATGGCAGCTTCCTTACAAGCAAGTACCCGTTTAAGAATCCTATAAAGAATCCTCACTGGCTTCAACACATTCATGAAGCCCCAAGACAAATAAAGGTAAAAGTAAATTTACTCTGGATGAACTCTTGACAACACTTGTGGACATGATATAAAAAAAAAAAGAAGTAGATAGAGCTAAGAGTGAAGAAATCCTTTTTGGATAGAAATATTTACAGGAGTTGTAAAAAAACCGATAGCATTGTAAGGTATCAAGATATTCCATTTTATTTAACTTGCTCCAGCCTTATATACTTTCTTCAATTCAAATAGCTTGTCTTTTGCATAATGGTTAATATTCTTCTACACACTAAATACTGAAGCAAAAATGGGCAATTCTTTTTTTCAATTAATTCCACAGAAGACACTTATGTCAGGAAAACTAGTTTTAAAAACTGTAAATCAAAATAAAAACCTTCTAATTAAAAAAAACTAGCATCAATTATAAAGTATACAACCCCATGCACTACAACTTCACATTTATTTGCCAGATACTGTTTGTGTGAGTTTCTGTTTAAGCACTGACTGTGCAACACATTCAGACAAGTTTGATTAGTAGTATAAATGTATATTCCACACAAAAAATTACGCAAAAAGAACATAATTAATTTTGTAGAATCCAGCCCTCCATATAGCAACTACTAAAATTAATTGCCAATGCAACGTTAATTTGCCTCCTTTTGGAATATGCACTGTAACTCCTGATATTATAAGTAATGACTATGAAGCACATGTTCAACTTACTAGTTTTTCATGTGACCCTTGGCTCATTGTGTATACAGGATGAACAGTGCTAACCCAGGCTGTAGCTACATTGATATAGCTAGACTCAGCCTTAAGGTCTCCCTAAAACCCACACCAGATGAACATCTAAGTCATTCTGACCTCGAAGCTCAAACACCAGCAGCAGTTTAGCCCACATCTGGAAGTTCTGCTGAAGTTCTCAGCGTGCCATCAATCCACCCCCATCTGCTTCCTATTCTGTCCCTTTCTGCACTTCTGTTTGGTACTTCTGTGGGCATAAAGACCTTGACCACAGAAAATGTCAGCAGTAGTCCCACCATTCCTTGTTCCTGACTACTGGCCGTTCAGAATCCCATTTTCTCTCTTTGGTGCCAGGAAATAGTTACAAATCTGGGAGGAGAGACAAGCTGTCCACAAACAGATTCTTAGAAGGGCTCTGCTTCAAAATAAGCAACACAACTTGCAGGCTACGAGGTAAGACAGGGATGTCCAACTGGCAGCCTGGCCTGCAGGCTGCATGAGACCTACCAGGGTTAAATTGCTCAGCCACCACTTCCCTATTGCTCCACATTAGCCAGAGTTTCTGGGTTCCCTCTTCCTCATTCAGCTGCCACTTCCTGCTCTCACCATAGGGGGTACCGCTGTGAGCAGAGGGTGAGTCTGGTGCATGTGGGGAGGGCAGGGACTAGAGAGGCTTGGGTGGGTCACAAGTTTGCAGTGCAGCAGTGGGGCACCCAATGTAGGAATACCATGTAGCAGCAAGGAAGGTCATGGGCATGCAGTGCAGCGGGAAGGTTGGGGGTTGCGTGCACATGGTGAAGTGGTAGGGAGCCTCTGTGCAATGTGCAGCTTAGAGGTGGGATGTGGCTTGCCCTCCTGGATAGCCTTGAAGTAAGACATAAATGAACAACAGCTCACGTGACTTAGAAGAGTTGAGAAGCACTTCAGGTCAACCCTAAGTAACACCAGAGATAAACCCTTAATAAGAAGTTCACTATTTTGGTTCTTCTTCGTTGTAATTAATTTTCACTATACCCTATGAGATGAGTAAGCAGTAAAGATGGGGAAGTGAGGCACAGAGAAATGAATGTAAAAATGTAGAACTGAGCAACAACTGGAATTTCTGGTCCTGCAGAATATGTTTCATTTCCAAAATTCTTCTGTTCTGATTTGAGAGCTGGAAACCTTAGGCCTATAGTGTCCTGTTGGGTGGGTGGCTGATGAGTTGGGACACCAAAAAGAGTTGGAGGCCGGATTCTACATAGCCTGCTAAGCTGAGTCACTATGAAGATGGGTGAGCTTGTAGGTATTGAGGCTGGTTTATTTAAAAATCTAATAGAGATCAATGTGTTCCCATGGAAAAAATTGGTTTGGATGATCTGGTACTGTCTAAGCTGAACATTTCAGCCCAAGTTTGGTAGTTTAGCCAAGTTAGATGCAGCTGAAAATGAGGTTTTGCCAAAGAAAGTGCTGATCAACTTTAATGGCAGTTGATACTACTAGCCCCGTTTCTAATTCACCAGCAAGTCTAGATACTTTATTTTATTATGATTAGTATATTATGTTTTATACCCTTATAATGATTATAATTTCTGCCAAGACTCAAAAGAAGGAACTTTCTTGTTTCAATATAAAAATAAAATCTTTTATTATCTGCAAGTAGAAAATATTAAATTTTTCTGAAAATATTTAATTTTTCTGAAAATGAATACAATTAAAAATAAAAACAACACTTTTTTTTACCAGTAAGATTCAGGGTGGGGAGGAAGGGGGGAAATCACAGCAGTGGTTAACAAGTCTTTACAAAACATACTGTAGTTTGATATCAGCTTCAGTAGTTATTCAAAATATCCTTTGTACAATTTTTAGTGTTTATGTATGCAAAGTTTTGTACATGTAATAGCCTCACTGACACATACAAACAAAACATTTGTGCATGCAGCTGATCAGTATGTGTTTTGTTCCTCATATACACACACTGACCTGTACAAACCGATGTATGAAAATGTGCATATGTTTGATGTACGAGAAAATTCTGGCTACTAGATTTCCAACCCATGAAAACATATACAAAATATATACTTACAAGTCAAAGACTAAGTAATGGAATCCTTCTTCCGATATGCTGTCATGAAGCCGCACTATTAAAAGACAAAAGAGAGGAAAAATATATCTTTCATATCTCTACTTTTTTCATTCTAACCTAGGGTTCATTTTGTGGGGTATTTTTTGTTTTGTTTAAAACCCCTCCGCTCAAAGTTGTCTTATTTGGTTTAGGGCTTTCCTGCCTAAGGGGATGAGGTACCGCTGTAATTATCTGGAGTTATTTTGCTTTTGTTATGCCTCTCTTTCCTCCCCCAACATTCACATACATGTAGCAGTATGCACACACAGCAATTTGTCTCTGTCTTTCATGCTAGACCACTTGTGCAGCAGAAGTGGTCAGATGGAATTTAAAATATATAACATTAATATTAATACCACTTATCTAATTCATTGCCCTTGAAAACTCTCTCACCACCTTTGAAATAGAGCATGGAATGATCTCCAAAAGCTAGCCACGCAGTATTAAGGATAATGATTAATTATGAAAATCACCACCCAGGGATAACAGAAAAATATTTGTTAACTAATTCTAGATTTCAAGACATGGGGTGCATCTATATACGCACTTTACTGCAAAGTAGATTAATGAGCTCCGCAGTGGGCATGACTACATGTGCTTTTATGCACATCTAAAAATGCACATTAGTCTAATGCGCATTAAGGCAATTTAGGCGTATGTCTACACGTGCACGCGCTAAGGCGCACTAACGCAGGTGAGGATCAATTTGGGACTAAAGTTAGTCCCAAGTCAATGGACACATACTGCGTTAATGCACATGAGCGTGTCTACATGTTCACTATTGCGATTTAGCTATTCACACATAAATTTGATACCTGCTTCATGCAGGTATCAAATTTAGGCTCGCATAGCCTAAAATCGTCATTTTAAGGTGCATTAAATGCACGCATGCATAGATGTGCACCCTTAATGTCCCTTAAATTTAGCTACTGTGCATTAAATGTGCACATGTAGACATGCCCAGTACAATATCACTGTTTACATGTGCACCGATATTAGGGTGCAGTAAACTAATTAACTCCACCAAAGGCTAGTACTGCTGGGGACAGTACTATCTTATGGCAAAGTACTTAACTGCACTGAAATGCATGTGTAGATGCTGACCGGGAGTGTAAATTGTGCCCAATCAGCCCAGCCAGCTGGGGACCTGCTCCAGCCTGGCTCAAACTGCTGCTGATATTAGCAGGCAGACAAACAAGAAAGCATTATTTTTTATGGGCTACCAACAAATCAAAAGCACATGACTGTATAAAAGAGAAATGAAAAAAACATGCTTGGGTTAATATTAGGAGCCTCTATTTCCATGTAATAAGCATAAGGTTGCCTATGTTAAAAACAAAATTGCTCCATGTAGACCTAATTTACTGTTTTTCTTGACAGTTTCTCAGGCTGGCTTAAATGTAATCCCAGTAAGTTTAGTCCGACCCTCATTTCAAAGACAAGATTAGACCTGAAAAATAAGTAATTGCTTTCTAACACCCTGTCTCAACTCCCATCAAACAGAAATGCAACACATTTTCCTTTTCAAATTCACCTCTGTTCACTGGGAGAGGAACTAGTAGAGTAGACTTCTGAACAAAAAGAATAAAGTTTTGTGTGAGCTTACTGTCTGCTTTCCTACACAGAAAAGCAAAGAGATCTGTCACCATCATTAAAGCTTTTGCAAACTCTGTGATATGTAAGACAGCTTCTTTTAGTCAAATGTACGGACCCAAGAAGACATTGACAACAAGACCTCCCAAATGACATTGCAAACTTGGTCTACAGAAATCACGGGTACCAGATATTATTAAAAAGAAGATGTTAATAGGACTTTAGAAAAGGATTAAATGGCTATATGCATGGAAGAACAACCAAAATTATTATAGATATGATTAGAAGCAAGAAAAAAAATTAAGAAGATCAGTTTCAGAAGGTACAGATATAACCAAATTATAGCAAGAGCGGGAGTGGAAGAATGGGAGTAGGAATGTTTTTTCTCTTTATGCCTATCATTCCTTAAGCATCAACTGCAAGATTTCTTGCACCTTCTGCTGAAGCAGCTGGGATTGGCCACTGCCAAACACAGGATGCTTTTCCTGAGAGATTATTGATCTAATTCAGCACAGCAGTACTCCTTTTTTCATATTGCTTAAATATTCTTTTTACAGTGTAGATATATAGATCTTTCACAATAAAACTGAAGTCCACATGAATCTCTCTGTATTTGGAGACAGAGACTGCATTAGGAGTTATGCAGGCCTGGGAATCTTGCATTAAACTCATAATACAATCTAATTTTTTGCTATATCTGAAGAGGTCCATAATGGTCTTTTTTGTCTAAGTTTCCTGACTTGTTCTTATTTCATAATGAAATCTGTAACTGCTGGTTGCATGGTTTGTATTGGGTGTGAAATGAACATTTTGGAACTCTTGCCAAATCTTACACAATGGAGAGTTAAATGGAACTCTCAAATGACATTCTGTTCACGTGATGTTGGATTCAAAATAATTCTTTTTTTTTAAATAGAATTGCTTGGAAAATTTGGTAGAATAGAAGATAGATGAAGAATTACTTTGCAATAAGGCAGATATCATCTGAACCTATAATTGGACATGTGCATACTCTTTTAAACAAAAAGCCCAACAACAATGGGAAAAAGAATAAAGAACTACTCTACTGTGTGTGCTGCAAATCATCAGAAATACATCAGGGTTCTAAATTCATGTGTTCTAACTCATTGGCCATAGTACCAAGAGAAGCATACCAAAAAAGGAAAGACAGATGGTAAAATGATGACATGCTCTGAATAGGATGTGAATTCCTTTATAATTATGGAATATATAAGTATATCATGTTCTCTCATTCTTTATAGAATCTAGTACTATATTTTCTTGGTGGGAAGTCCCTCATAAGAGAGGGAATACTGAGTATGGAACATCCTGCAATGTATTGTTAGGGCTTTCTTACACATTAATTTTAGGTGATTCCTGGGGCTCTTAACTCCTGGATTGTGCATGCATTAACACCTGAAACTACCTTTAAGCACACTGTAGGCAACTTAAAATTACACCACTCCAGGGCAGGTTTATCTCTGATCCATATTACCCAGCTTGTGTCCCAATAATGTGTGGCCACTCCTCACAGATGAGCCACCCAAGCTTCAGTCCTCCAGCATCCCAGGATACAATGTCCCCATCCCAACCTTCTGTTCTGTATAGACAAACTTTCCACCTCCTGAACTCTACTGCCCAAGGGATGGTTCTGGCATCAAGCCAACTCCCCCTCCCAACCCGTGGGAGTGCGACTATCTCACCTGCGGGAGTGCAACCCCTTGCAAACAGTATGCAGGGCATATGCCAGCTAGCCAGGTTGCCGGGCATGGATGGGTCCAGAAGTGGGGTCTAAAGGGGTGGGATGGGGGAGGAGAAGTGGGGGGCAAGTTGGGGGCTGGATCCAGTCTCCATGAGCTGGGGCTTCCTTTCCAGGTCAAGGATAGTAGCTCCCTGAAAAGCACCTTCCCTCCCAGCCACCCTGGGAAACAAGATCACACCCCCTATACCCCAGTCACAAATCCCAATTTATTAAAATATGAGCTCTTTCCTATTATGAGTTTATTTCCTATTAATTTCTTTTAAAATTATTTTTTTACTTTTTTTTATTTTATCCTTCAGTGGCTGACTCCCTTCATTTCCCCACCTTTTCCCCACCCTCATTTTCTTTCCATCTGCCATTTCATTACCCACTCTCATCCCATTAACTCTCTGCCTCCCTCCCAGCTTCATGTTCCTGCCTCCAATCTCCAACCCACTCTCTCATACTCCCACTTAGTGCAGGGATAGAAGCCTGTCCTGGATCACCAGTCCCATAGTGGCAACTCATAGCTGTAACTCAGTCAGACCCCTGCTCAACAGCCCTCTAATGGCAAGTCACGGTTGTGCAGGTGGGGGACAATCAGGGAAGGTTTTCAGCCTCAGGGTGTGACTGCTCCAAACTTGACCTAGCACTAACACCAATCAACATTTGAGCAGCTCAAAGTGCAACATGTAACAAAGCCCTTACAGGTTGAGTTGAACCTTGCTGAAATTGTTGGATGTAATCACTATCCTTCCTCTAAGATAGTGGTAAGAAGCCATTACATTCCTTTATATATGTATGTAACTTCAGTTAATGAATGTCCAAACTCAGAACACAGGCACATAAACGATTCTATAGGAATTAGAACTACATACCCAAAAAGGCTTGATAATTATTGTTCTGAGCACCCTGAGGTGTGTTTGAGATGGTGATACTGAGAAGCAGGTGAGAGAGCTGAGAATTAGACAGAGAGGTAGCTAAATCCTGACACTGCCACAGAAGTAGCATGAACTTGACCTTAATTTCTGTATGCCTACTCTTTCTCCCTGTATCCCTACTTCTATTTGTCTCTATTATGTCTCGCCTTCCAATCATCCTATTTGCCATGAACCTCAGATATATAAGTGATGAAGGGCTATGAGCAAGTCAGAAAAATTTTGGTAGATTAAGCACTGCAAACCAATCATTGCTCCATAGTATCAGTGCATATAACAATAAAGGGAACTAATGGGAGGGACCTACATGCTACCTAAAGCCATTAGTGCTGTTGTCAGAGTTAGAGGCACCAAAATACAAAGTAGATAGAATAAGCAGGATCAGTAGGTTCAGCACTGTCTAGAAACATGGCAGGTAACCAGGTCAGTGGCTTCCCACCACATTGTATTAAAGAGTGATGAACCTGAGGGTTGGCTGGGAGCAGAGGAGAGTAGAAGAATGAGGAAACTAGGAACGAGACCAGGAATCATAAGTTCCTCAGTGCTATTCAAGTTTTATTTATCTATAGTATTTTTAGGCTTAAGAGGCACATACACAATTTTATATTATTGTTCAGCTCAGGGACCTATTTTAAAATGATTTACCTTTCTTCAAATCAATTTGACAATACACACTTGGGATCATCAAATGCTATTTGTCATTAACTTTTGCCAAAACACCTCAAAGCGAGATTTCTACAAAAT